AATTTGTATTTTTCAACGTTGAAAATTGTTACTCATGAAAATATCAAGGACGCATTTCTTAGTTCTTCTGACATTCCGGATGAGGATGTGTCCATGCTAGGTGCATTGTGTTTCATAACGTCTTATCTACATCCGAGAGACTACAAAAAGGCTGTGGATCACTTCTTATTTGTACTAGTTGAAGATTTTAGTATGATGAATGTGTTTCCATGGGGTAAGTCGCTGTTTGACACACTAGTAAATTCATTGAGGGAAGGGTTGAGTAAGAGATCAACACATTACAAACTCAGAGGCTTGCTTGTAGCCTTTCAAGTGTGGATTTACGAGACAATTCTCAGTCTCGATGGACACACAGTGAGAAGGATTTCCAGAATGTACCCCAGGATAATGAAATGGGTGGCTGATGATAACCTTTCGGCTGCGAAGCTCGGGGGACCTGAATGCTTTTCTAATCCGGACGTAAGTGACCATTGATGCAGCAGTACTGGTTTCAGGATATTAAACTTGCACATTTTTTTCATGTTCCAGATCATATTTCGTAGCTCACAAATATATTTCGTCAAGTCACAAATTGTATTTACGAAGTTACAGATTTTATTCATTATGTCACACGTTTTCAGTATAGGTCACAGATATTTTCATGGCGCCATTTGCCCTTGTTATATCACAATCAATGGAAACATATTGAATATGTGTGATGTGCAAAATTATATCTGTTTGTTCATACATAATTTTTGGTTGTTAACATTGCACTTTTTGTTGTGATATAAATGGCAATTGGAAATATGTGACCTGGACCCCCACCAGCTGAAATGGCAACGCCATACATGATTCAGGTGCAGTACGAGAAACCTATCCTACCCGATCGGTCACATGGAGAGAAGAGAAAGGGTGGTAGCATACACCGATCAAATCATCGTGCTGGGACTAGTATAAAACCAAGGAATTCAGGAATGAAACAATTTACTCCCATGCTTTTGATAACTAATGGACGATTGGGACACTCTGATCTCCCCATTGATGATGATGACTTTGTTGATGCACTACCCAATTGGAAGGAGACATCAATCCATGAAGATTTTTCAAGTGGAGAGCATGAGTTAGATGACACCACTGATTCAGTCAAAAGATGTAAGCTCTTCCAATTTCATTTATTATGTCACAAGTCCATTTGGTCACATAAAAATTCAGGTCACAGGTTTTAGTTATTAGGTCACATACCAATACACGTTTCACTGCTGATCACAGATCAATATTATATTTCATCATCATAAGTTACCTGATTATAGGTATTCATGTAATGCAGGTGGTCGACGAATTGAGGAATTATTTCAAAGGACAGATATCTGATCTCCAGTCTGAGAATCAGTTGTTAAGCAAACAGCTCCAGGCAATGCAGTCATAGGTGTCATCTTTGAAGTCTGATAAGCAAAAGAAACTGAAGTTGCTTGTTCGCATGCAAGGTGAAATCCGTACTGACATGTTGGACATCAAAGCACACATGCAGTGTATGTCTGATTCTGTGACTACATTGATGTCTAGTTCAATGGAAGAAATTAAGCAAAAATTCAGAGAGAACTCAGGACCAGAAACTGTTGTAGGATTTGGACCAACATGTGAAGTCAGTACCCCAACTGTGACTGCCTCTTATTTGTCTGTTATCACAAACCGTTTGATATACACTTCTCATCAAATGCATTTTTGTTCGGATTTTCAGGCTACAAAAGTCGAAAAAAGAGTTTATTCGAAAGGCAAAGCGAAAGTTGACTCTGCGTGTGCAGTTGAATTTCCATGTTCTATTGAACCTCCATCTTTTGATCTCGGTCTTGGATTTACACAACCAAACCAGTTTGTTGCAAAAACATCTAAGGAAGTTGAAGTGCAAGTGGAATCGGTCATATCCAATGTTTTGAAGGACACGGAATGTATTGAGCAAGAGGTATCAAAAAATCTATGTATTTGTTGATTAATGCATGTCACGTATTAAAGAACACATTTTATTACGTAGCACTCACCTGAGGCCGCACCAAGTTCTGGATTGCCGGTGAAGAGGGCTCCAAAGCCAGCTAAAGCACTTCAGTCCCCTTATGTTGTTGACGAAATGAAACAAATGTAATCGTCAAAAAACGTAGTGGTCTTCGAACACTACAATCAGAATGTACAAGATGCAGATGTTGCTAACTTTCAAAATTGGTTTCAAAGAGGATACAAACCGCATAACAAGTA